CGTTGTGTGACTCAGTGTTAACTTAGGAGAGGAACCGTTGGAAATTTTAACACGTTATAAAGAATAGTATAGGGAACGAAGTATGGTCGATCTAAAACGATAAATATTTCGAAATATGAACATTTTTCTCGTAAAATCAATAAAACTTACTCATACCCTGTGTATCCGTTGTAGTTTCTGGCGATTTCTGCCGTTTTAAGCTCGCTTTACCATCACTGTTATTCACGACATCTACTTTTATTACGTTGGTAAAATCTGTACAGACATCACACCAACCAACTCGCGTGCAAAGTAAGAAGACTATATTGAAGGCTTGAAACAATACTGCGATCGATTTTCATCAAGAAATCGGCCAGGAATATTACACAATAGTGCAAATAATCGTGAAGGCTGATCGCAGAAAAGCGATTGCGTGACGCTCGGTAAGCTGTAAGATGACATGTTATTATATACCAGACGTAAAAACTCTTCAGATTCTTAGTCTGCATTTTGTACCCACTCTGCAGTCTGCAGTCTATATTTTGTATCCGGTCTGCAGTCTGCTGTCTGCATTTTTTACTAACAGGTATCCGTGGCACCAATACAGTTTATTTTTGGTTACATTTATTCGCAACACAACACACATAATCTACCACAAAATACCTGTGAGTGAGGTAATTCGACATTTTCGTTTTTTCCCGCATTAATATTCTTCTCTCCTTTTGTAAGAATGTAGACATCACTCACAATTTTTCAAGTGATCCACCCACCCTACAAAAAAATAACTCTTGCATGCAAAGCATGCCTATTTTTTGAAATAGGTGTATGCCCTTGGCCAGACTTGAGAGCTCAGTTACCCTGCTCACAGGGTCTAGTTTGGTTTTTTTTTTTGCCCTTGCGATTACTAGCGTAACAAAAATGCAGGAAATGTAAACACGTGAATAAACTTAAAGATCCTGAGTGGAATTGATGAGTGCTGTGAAAAGTTTTTGAAATGAGTAGACTGTGCCGATGCTTTTTTGTATCTGAGATCAAGCTATTTCATGAAAAGTTTTTCTTACTTTTCCTTTAAGAAAATTCAAACTCTTATCGTAAATAGATCAGTCAGCTGGTGAAAATAGAATGTAAACTTTCCAGGTAATATGAAATTAAAATTATTCGTTTTTCCTTCGACAACTAATTGCCAAGGAATGGTGACAACTTATTCCACACTGCAGGATAAAACGCCGATTATTGCCGGAAAATTAATTAGTAGTAGTTATACCCATGCAGCAAATGCAAAGGGCTAGGGGAAACACAAAAACCTCAGTAATTTAATTGGAAACTTTTATGAACTCAGTAACCGTGAATTTATGACGATTGTGAAATCTCTGCTTAACTGAAATCGCATTGACATTCGCGGTCTTTTTCCATGACTAAAATTAATCAAGTCTGCTTACAGAAAATTTGTGATGCCTGGAGGATAATCTAAACAAACCGGTGTTATTACATCTTTGTTAAATGAGACGGCAGGAAATAAATTTTGAGAGTGTAACAATTGTCTGTAGGAAAAGCAAGCCGACGACTTTGCGATATGCGTTGAAAATATTTAATCATTTACCTTAATCTGTGCAAACGACTGATTAAAAAAAAAATTTCGGCCTCCGGATGTTTCTTTTAAAGATCTTTAGGTTTCGAATGTATTTTTTTGCTAAAAATATATTCCATTCCCTTGAAATGTCCTGAACTTTTTCCCTAGTTTCTACAATTTTTCGCAAGAAGCTTTCCCTTGCTGTAAAATGTAAATTATGAAGGAGTAAGACCACAGATTCCGTACCCACCTCTCCCTACTCCATTACTTGTGCGTGAGTCTTAGTTCGATACGAGAGAATATGAACATGGTAAAGCAAGAGGGTGGTAAAGGGTCTTTACGTGACGCGTAAAAAGGCCCAAAAAGGGCAAGTTAAAGTGAGATTTGAAGTTATTCCTTTTAAGTTCGTGACGGGGAAATACTACTTAAAGTACACTTGACGCGCGAATTCCCTTCCCCCTGTAACCCCACCCTCGTTGCAAAACATTGAAACGCTCAAAAGAACTATTTTGCTGATTAGGAGGCTCTAACGAAGGTTTCTCAGACGCGACTGGAGAACAGAACCCATAGGCCAAACGTAGAGCTTTGCCGAGACCGTGTACAGTATCGGCTGATAGAGGAAGTATATTTGAGATCTCTACCAACACTGAGTGACTGCAGGAAAGACTGAAGATATTGAAGTGAAAGCAAACAGTGTTTTTATTGACAGAGATAATTGTAAGAAGTTGCGCAAGCAGATCAATCATGTACCTCATTGAAAGGGCTATTTTAGGAGATATGCTTCCACGATCCCAGGATATTGAGATTCATCATGTTTTGCGCATGTTTTCATCTTGAGTGCACTAACTCACTTAACGATTTTTATTCGGGGATTTTCGATCCTTTTAATTTCATTTATTTTTCTTTACTGACAAGAAGAGTCGACTTTATGAAAATAAAGCCGACTTTTCCTGTCAGTAGAGGGCTATTGTGTTTATATGATAAACAGAATATTACATGGCTGCTTGTAGATATGAAATTTCTCTTCTCGTGTTCAACTCGACATCTCGACATCTGACTCGTTCGACTTAACCCTTTAACCCCTAAGACTGACTAACATCTGATTTCTCCTTACAATATCACCCCTGAATCAAACATTAAGGTCATGAGAATAAAGGAGATGATCACCAACTAAAGAATCTCTTGATTATTGAACAAATTCTCCTTGTCAGAACCTTAAGAAATGTCTAGGGTGAGGTATGGAGAATATGCATACTGATGTTAGGGAGTAAAGGGTTAAACACTCGAAGAGAAATTTCATATCTACACGCACCCATGTATTATTCTCTAAGTATCAAATCGCTAATTAGACAAAGTTTCTGTGAGTGCTTTAACGGTTTTTTAATATAATTATTATTATCATTTTATAAGAATCTTCTAAAAATGGAACTGTCTGAGCCATACTTTTTTAGGTTGTTGTTATTTTTGCGAATTTTTTTTTTTTTTTTTCCGCTGGAAACCTGACATCATTGACCACTGAACAGAAATCTCAGCTGAAAAAATTGTAATTCTGAGAAGTGATTTAGGTTTACCTTGTTAAATACAGGTTGATTTCAAGGGCTAATTTTATCGTAAATACAATGATATTATGTTACTGCAGAAACTGTTAAACAATCAAACACCACCTTTCATTATTGTACTGTTCTCTGTCGTTTCTCAGCTCTTCTTCCTTCAGTGAATGTCGATAATGTGTGGACTTCAACTTATTTTATTTTCTTATCACATCAGTTGTTTATGGGAAAAACTTTTGGCTACCTTCCGTCATAACTCATCTAGAGATACTGTGGGGTTGTATATATGTTGATGCTTGACGAAGGTAGAAGACAGCGAAGGTGTATATATCGGTTGTTATGGCTACTGCAGTGGGTGAGGTAGTCGTTAGGTGTACCTGATCTCCCCATAATCACGAAAAACAACTTGTCATACCTCAAGTACGAGTGAGACAATAATGTAGACCCAAATTCTGCAAAATCCAGCGATGTGCCCTCAGTCAAATGTGCTTACGTATGTGTTAGCTCCGAGTTATACCGTGTAACGAGTCAACTGTGAGCCTAAGTCAAGTTCGGGTCACCAGTCAAGTTTGAGCCAACTTAACTTTTTTCCCTTTTTATAAAACCATAGCGATAGAAAATACATGATTAATGTAGCTTTTAAAAGAAGAGCTAAACAAAACAAACAAAAATCAAAGCCGTGCATTCAGAAGGTTGTTTACTCGGGTCAAATTTGTCTGAATTCCCGCATTATCAATTGTTACTTCAGTGGTGTTACTATGCTACAGAATTGTCGCGAAGTTTACGAAACGTTTCAAAGGCTGTTATTGTCCATCAAGACATTAAAACACTAATGAGAGCCACAACTGATGCTCACTACGAAGAAAATGGACTCGCGTTATTTTCAATGTCTTTTTCCAGGCACTGATACAACACAGAATATATCATGCCTTATATATTCCTCGCGTGGTGTAACGACGTCTTGACAAACAACTTTGTGATGCTTCGAAAATCTTGAAAAGTGGAGCCTGTATTTCATGAGTAAAACATGAAGAGTAGGACAAGATCATTCTGGTGAAACAAACGTCTCAGAGGAAAATTATATCTGTTCTTCACAATTTCGGCCTGGGTGGGAGAGAATCAGTTAATTTGTGGTGCTGTTTTTCAGTGGGAGCCCTGTAAATGCAACAAAATGGCGGTGGAGTGCGAGAAATATTGGTGTGTGTAGTTAAAAGTGGTGGAATCATTGAGGACAACTCGAATATGCCTGGACATTTTTACTTCTCTGATTGCAGCTATGAACCAGGGCAGGATTAACCCTCGCAAACGGCTGCGAAAAAGCTTAAAACTAGGTGTTCTTGTATCCCTGGTGCATCATTTCGACAAAGAAAATTGAAACCTTAAATCCTGAAAGGGAAAAAACCAAGTTGACTCGAACTTGACTCGTGATATGGTATAACTCGGTAACTCTCGTTGTGCGGACTTAAGCCACATATTTGGAGTGAGCATCACTGCTGTAAGTTTAACCATAACACTGACTCTCGTTCTATAAAAAGCAAGAGTACTTTAATTTTGAGCACAGTTTAAGACAAAACAATTCAAAGGGCTTCTGAGCAATTTCTCTGCTCAGAAATGTTTAAAATTTCGTTTTCTTTCCTCAAAGGACAGTTACCGAACTTAACTGAGAAATCGTTCGAAGTGAGTATGGCCTCTTCAGTGAAATAGAGTGAAGAACAGCTAAACTACTTCAGGATTTGTTACGTTACCACTGACATCTTGACCGAGGGACTGCGAGAAATCTTCAAACAAGAATGGGATAGTCGATACAAGGCCACGTTAGGAGAATGGAAAGATGATCCCAAAAATGGACTGGATTTCTGGAATGGCGGAATCAAAAGAAGCATGCACGTCTATTAACAACCATGACCAAAGGCAATAGAGCTGAGTGGGATTGCACCATGCTGTTTTATGCCATTCTTTTTTCCGATTGCATCCATAGTCTCAATCCAGTCGTCTGGTCAAATGTGGATAAACTCAGGCTGTTTCGGAACGAAGAGTTCGCTCATATTGCACGAGGTCGCCTCTCAGACGTAGAGTTTCAAAATGCCATCAGCAAAGTGGAAAATGCATTTTTAGCTCTCGGTCTTTCTACTGTGAAAATTCAAGACGTAAAAACCCAAACGTGTTTTCCCACAGAGCAGTTGATACATGTTTTGAAGAAGGTGGACGACCTCAAGCAGGAAGTTCAGGAAAAAGAAAAAGAAGTTCAGGAAAAAGAGAGAGAAGTTCGGGAGAAAGAAAAAATCTTCAAGAAAAAGAGAAAGCAATTCAGGAAAACAACAAGAAATTGCAGGAGAAAGGAAAGGAACTTCAGCAAAAAGAACAACAAAGGAAGACCCTTGAAGAACAGTTAAACAGCGAGGCTTCTTCATTTTGCATTCTTCCTCCTAAGCCTTCTCATGATGTCGCAAATCGAGATTCCGATGTATCTAAGATAATTGAACAGTTAAAAGCGCTGAAAAATTCCACGGGATTAAGTTACTTGTACTTATCTGGAAACCCTGGAAGTGGTAAATCGCAGATTGCCTCACTTGTAGCCAACAATTTCTTTGACGAGGTCAAAGGAAGTACATCGTTTGTAATGACACTAAATGCTGAAAACTCTAAAACACTTATGGAATCGTACGCCACTTTCGCTCGACATCTGAAGTGCCCAGAATACGCTGTTACTAACACACTTATCTCCAAAGATTTGAGTACTGATGAGAAGATCAGGAGTCTAAGGACACTGATCAGCACGAAAATCGAGCTGTACTCATCGTGGCTACTGATAGTTGATAACGTCACCAACATGTCTCATCTGGATGGTAATTTACCTGATCCAGGAAATGGGCAGTGCGCAAAGGGCCAGTTGTTGATAACAACACAGGACACCGCGTCTATCCCGCCGTCAGGCTCATTTATTCAACACATCCCAGTCAGCAAAGGTATGGAGCCTCATGAAGCCGGCTCTCTGTTGGAAATGCTTTCTGGTTTTAATGACCCAGAAATGGAAAAAGAGGTTGCTCGTGTATTAGACTACCAACCACTTGCCCCGGCAAGCGCTGCCACCTATGTGAGAGAAGTAAGAAAGAACAAATTAACTCCCAATTTTGGCTGGGATGACTTTCTAAAGAAATTGGATCAAGGGAAGAGAAGTACAACAGAAGCCATGCTCTCTGGAAGTAACCCAAGTTACAAAAAGTCCATGACTGCAGCCACAACACTTGCTGTTAAGAAGACTATCACAATGGATAAAGTTTTAGAGCACACTTTTCATTTTCTTTCTGTCTGTGCACCACATCCTTTGAGTTTAGAGATTGTTGTAAATTATATTACCAAAGTGAATGAAGAGCTTAAAGATCCTGAGATACTTGCTACGAGAATCTGCAAATGCTCTTTGCTGTTATTTGAAGAGGATGACAGCGGCGTCTACATGCGAGTGCACCAGATTGTTCATGACGTCATTAATGCTGTCATGAAAAATTTTGCCGAAAACAAAGAGCTTGAAGCCGTTGATGGGGTTATACTGTCATTCTACCAAGTTATAGGTCATGCCCTGGTTGAGGATGACTCACATACTCTTATCAGAACCAAGAACATTGTTCCTCATTTAGTCACATTGAGCGAGATAATCGATGGTCTCTTTTCAGAAGAGGGTATAACTGACGCTATAAAAGCCGGATTATCCACTCCTTATGACTACCGGAACTATTTCCAAACTCTTGGTCACACCTGCCAAAAACACTGTGAATTCCGATCAGCATTAAGGTACTTCAACGCAACGTTGAGACTAACTCAATGTGACGACGTGTTTGGTGACGAAGACATTGTAAACGCATATGGTTACATAGGTACTGCGCACCATGCCCTTGGTCACCTGCAGCAGGCGAAAGAATGTCATGATCGTGCACTTACCACTTGTCTGAAAAAGCTCGGACCTGAACATATCGAAGTGGCATACGGTTACGATAATCTGGGTGCTGTGCATCATGACCTTGGCGACCTGCAGCAGGCAAAAAAAAGTCACGATCGTGCACTGACCATTCGTCTGAAAAGGCTCGGACCTGAACATGTCGATGTGGCATATAGTTACAACAATCTGGGTACTGTACACTACGCCCTTGGTGACCTGTTGCAAGCAAAAGAATGTCATGATCGTGCACTTACCATTCGTCTGAGAAAGCTTGTACCCGAACATGTCAATGTGGCATATAGCTACAATAATCTGGGTGCTGTGCATCATGATCTTGGTGACCTGCTGCAGGCAAAATAATGTCATGATCGTGCTCTTGCCATTCGACTGAAAAAGCTCGGACCTGAACATGTCGATGTGGCAAATAGTTACAATAATCTGGGTGTTGTGCATCATGGTACTGGGGATCTGCAGCAAGCAAAAGAATGTCATGATCTTGCACTGACCATTCGTCTGAAAAAGCTCGGACCTGAACACGTCGATGTGGCGTATAGTTACGATAATCTGGGTACTGTGCACTATGCCCTTGGTGACCTGCCGCAGGCAAAAGAATGTTATGATCGTGCACTTTCCATTCGTCTGAAAACGCTCGGACCTGAACATGTCAATGTGGCAAATAGTTACGATAATCTGGGTACTGTGCACAATGCCCTTGGTGAACTACTGCAGGCAAAAGAATGTTATGATCGTGCACTTACCATTAATCTGAAAAAGCTCGAACCTGAACATGTCAATGTGGCATATAGTTACAATAATCTGGGTGCTGTGCATCATGATCTTGGTGACCTGCAGCAGGCGAAAGTATGTCATGATCGTGCACTTGCCATTCGTCTGAGAAAGCTCGGACCTGAACATGTCAGTGTGGCATATAGTTACAATAATCTGGGTGTTGTGCATCATGATCTTGGTGACCTTCAGCAGGCAAAAGAATGTCATGATCGTTCTCTTTCTATTCGTCTAAAAAAGCTCGGACCTGAACATATCAATGTGGCATATAGTTACTATAATCTGGGTACTGTGCATTATGGTCTTGGTGACCTGCGGCAGGCAAAAGAATGTCATGATCGTGCACTTACCATTCGACTGAAAAAGCTCGTACCTGAACATGTCATCGTGGCATATAGTTACAATAATCTGGGTGCTGTACATCATGATCTTGGCGATCTGCAGCAGGCAAAAGAATTTCATGATCGTGCACTTACCATTCGTCTGAAAAAGCTCGGACCTGAACATGTCGATGTGGCAAACAGTTATAATAATCTGGGTGTTGTGTATCATGGTCTCGGGAAGCTGATGCAGGCAAAAGAATATCATCATCGTGCACTTGCCATTCGTCTGAAAAAGCTCGGACCTAAACATGTAAATGTGGCAAATAGTTACAATAATCTGGGTGCTGTACATCATGGTCTTGGGGACCTACAGCGGGCAAAAGAATGTCATGATCGTGCACTTGCCATTCGTCTGAAAATTCTCGGACCTGAACATGTCGATGTGGCATAGAGCAGGTAATTAAGTGTTATCAACTGAGTTGAAAACGTCAATTTGCCACCGTAAAGAGTGCAAAGGCTGATGATTCGAGCCCAAAGGACAGCCCTTTGTCAGCCTTTTCACTCCTTACGGTGGCCAATTAACGTTTCAACTCAGTTGTTATCACTAAATTACCTGCTATACTCTCCCACCAACGCAGCACCACAGTTTCTATAGAAACTTACCCCCTTTATTCGATGTGGCACTTAGTCACGACAATCTGGGTACCGTGCAGCATGCCGTTAGTGACCTGCAGTGGGAAAAGAGTATTAAGATCATGGACTGATTATCCGTCTGAAAAAGCTCGCACCAGAGGATAATGATGTGGTAACCGTGCAGAATAACTCACTGATGGTATAACGGAAAAGGGAGATTGGACGAACGTCTACCATATCTCACAGAGTCGGCTGTATGACATTCTGAATTAACTATGTATTTAGAATATAAACCCGAAAGTGCCAGACATGATACTTTTAGGACAGAACATCAATTTTTTGCCAGAAAACGAAATTTGTTGGAGAATAAGACACTACGGGAAAAAGAGAATTCCATAAATACCATTGCTAAGAGAAAAGGAAAGGCTTTAAACTGTTTTACCAAATCCGTCTCGTATATCTTTTTATCTTTCGTTAGGAAAGTTTTCAAATTTTACACAAATTAATACACAAAAGGTAGCCTTATTTGAATTCCAATGACCAAAAATAGAAATAGTCAAAATAGGTTGCGAACCCTTTACACCCTGACATCAGTATCGATATTCTCCTTACTTTTCTCCATACATTTCCTTTGGTACTGACAAGGAGATTTGTTTCATCAATCAAAGCTTCTTAGGTTGGTGACCATTTCCTTCATTCTCGTGATCTTAATGAATGATTCAGCGATATTAATGTAAAAAGAAATTAGATGCTGGTCACTCTTGGGGTATGGCGGGGTAGAACTATGGCAGAAGTCAGCCTTTCCATTATTCCACCTCATTTAAGTATGACTTGAGTGTACATAGGCTCGACTGTAAATAGCATAATGTAGGACTTCATTAACTATGCATCTGTGTCATTTGGTTGAAGTCCAAAACTTGTCAGTGATCTCTCCTCCCATATCCTTGTTGTCTGCTTCATCAGTAATCTCAGTTTTCCTCGCCAAACCCTGATGCTAATGAAGTAAACAGGAGAGATATTGTGTATATCGGTCTTCCTTTAAAACTTTTTCCCTTTTCAGCTATTTTGTAAACCAAGGGAAGTGTTGAAGGTTAAACTGATCCAAATTTTTTGCGGAAGAGAAGAGAGCATTTATCATGAAATTGTTCTAAATCATTTACTGAAAAAAAAAATGTTTGAAAGTGATTACAATTACTTGGAGAATGCCAAAGTGAATTTGAAAAAACAAGTTATCATTCGGTGTAAGAAAATATTCTATTGTTCGATTGTCGAAGAAAATCCAGTTTTACTATGCTCCTTTCTGTGATTGGCCGAGAAACTGGCGTCACCTGCTCAACCAATCAGATGAAAAAAAAAAGTCGAGTTACTCGTGTTTTCCTGTGACTCAGTCTTCTTGTTTCTTCAAGTTAATTCCCGGTCCTTATTTTTTTAAACCCTTGCGATTATTAACGTAAAAAAAGCAGGAAATATAAACACCCGAATAAACGTATTCGTTGTACATATTAACTTCGTATACTTAAAGATCCTGAATAAAATTAATAAGTGCTATGAAAAGTCTTTAAAATGAATGGACTGTGCCGATGCTTTTTTGCATCTGAGATGAAACTATTTCATGAAAAGTTTTTCTTACTTTTCCTTTAAGAAAATTCAAACTCAATTTGATCGTAAATAGACCCGTCAGCTGGTGAAAATAAAATTTAAACTTTCCAGGTTATATGAAATTAAAATTATTCTTTTATCCTTCGACAACTAGTTGCTAGGGAATGGTGGCAGTTTATTCCACAATGGGGGATAATTAATTAGTAGTAGTTATACCAATGCAGAAAATGCAAGGGGAAACACAAAAACCTCAATAATTTGATTGGAAACTTTTATGATCACAGTAACCGTGAATTTATGACGATTGTGAAATCTTGTGATCAGCCACGCAACGTTTGAGATTTTCTTACTTTCTGATCAACTGAAATCGCATCAACATTCGCGGTCTTTTTTCATGACTAAAATTAATCAATTCTGCTAACAAAAAACTTATGATGCCCAGAGGATAGTCTTAACAAACTGGTGTTATTACATCTTTGTTAAATGAGGCGACAGGAAACAAATTTTGAAAGTGTAACAATTGTCTATAGGAAAAGCGAGCCGACGACTTTGCGATATGCGTTGAAAGTATTTAATCATTTACCTTAATCTGCGCAAACGACTAATTAAAAAAATTTGTCGGCCTCCGGATGCTTCGTTTAAAGATCTTTAGGTTTCGAATGTATTTTTTTGCTACAAATATATTTCATTCCCATGAAATGTCCTAAACTTTTTCACTAGTTTCTATAATCTTTCGCAAGAAGCTTTCCCTTGCTGTAAAATTTAGATGTTGAAAGAGCAAGACCACGGTTTCCGTACCCACCTCTCCCTACCTGTTACTTGTGCACGGGTCTTAGTTTGATACGAAAGAACACGAACATGGCATGGTCTTTCTTTTACCCCCCGTTGCTCTCCTCTGTTAAACTTCCTGCTTATCTGGAGTTTCCAGATCAGTGCAGAAATCTATTCGTAGTATCATGGTCAAATCATAATGATTGTTCTCCTGATTACTACAGTTGGCTGTTGTAGGCGCCGATAGCCACAAAACGTTTTCATGGTTAAACTTTCCCTCCGCAAGGATTCAGCTTTAGTCGGTTTAAATATCAAAACAGAGAGAGTGGGCAGATTCTCTTTCGTTTTAATTAATCAGTTTGAACTACCGGTTTAAAAAATACCCGTCATTTCTTTCAAACCTCCGAAATATTTATCTCTTACAAAGGAACTGACACGAAGCTCAAAACGATAAAAATGGTCTGACAAAACGAGATGAATAGAATTCAGTTTCTAAGATTTCCAGACATGTTTACGATTACTTTGCAAATTAAAGGAAACTTTACATAATTTGCATATCAGCACATCTTCAGCGTGTAAGATTTTGTAAAGGCTTGACAGAATTCTTATGTTATCATATGGGTACGATAATTAAGGAAACGCTAAGAGAAATTAAAGAAAATACACAGCTTAAAATTCAGGCAATAACCGCATGGATTCAAACTGGTATAGTAGAAGCCTGTATCCAACACGGACTCCACTTTGCTAGCACAGCTGGCAGCTGTAAATGAGGTATGAATACCCTATTTTTGAATACTTGTTTTCATTTTAGAATTCTTTGTTTATATACAATAAAGCATAAAACAATCTCTTAATACAGAGAATTCACAGTAGAATTGTCCCCAGTGTCAACTGCAGCCATTAGCCCACATCTACAAGTTAGAAACCTCTTTATACACAGCCTGAAATGTGTGCTGTAAAAACTATAAATGAAAGGGTTTGCCGCAGCAGAAGCTATGGTTAGTAACTGGCTTAGTCTCCAAATTAATTCCCCTTCATACCAGTTAAAATAACGAAGTGTTCGAGTGAAAACGAAAGGAGACCAAAACGCGAAAAAGACTATCGTGACTACTCCCAACATTCGACTAGCTTTTCTTTGGCGCGCTCGCATTGAAAGAGCGATTTGTTGATTTGGTGCGACCTGCGATTTAAAAACGCGTTTGATCTTCAACTGCGTCCATATCATTATTAAAAGAGGAGTAAAGAATAGTATAACCCCGGTTAAACTGTAATAAATTCGCCTTCCGAGGTGCGACCATGCGTCGTTTAAACAGCGTATGACGCTGTTACCGTTTGAAGTTTCTTCCGTCAAATTGTACGCGTAGAGAAGAGGGGAGCATAGCAGTATGGCCAGACTCCACACGATTATGGAGCGAGATCGTCTTTCTTTGACTCGCTGAATGCGCGATTTTATCCGTAAATCCGAGATTGACTTGACCCTCTCGCGGCTGATTGCTATAAGAGTGAGTATACCAGCGGAGTAGCATAACTCGACAAGGAATCCCTGAAGTTTGCACAAAATGGCTCCTGTGGTCCACTCGTAGAGAATCGCGTAAACAGCGTCAAAAATCGTCAACTGCGTGAAAAGGAGGTCCGCAATGGCGAGATTGGCGATGTAAAGATTGAAAAATGCTGTGCGAGTAGGTTGAAAGGCTGTGTTTCGACTATTTTTAGCGCAGATATACAACACCACTACGTTCCCTAAACTCGAGGTTGAATACACTACAATGTAAAAACACATGAAGAATATTCCCATGAGTGAGTTCAATGATAAACCGTTTGCCATTTCCTCTTGGACTGTAGAATTTGGTGTGAAATATGGTTCTACAGTAGAATTTACTACATCCAACTGAATTATTTCGTGATGCTGGTAAATTAACAGGCGGAATTCATCAACACAAGGAGGTCGTAGGAGGGCCAGCAATGACGTAAACAGCAATCAAAATGCTCGAATATCAGTTTGAAATTCTAGTTCCTCTGTCTTTACTGTTGACGCTTTCCGCGAAGAATCATGATATCATTCAAGTGTCATAAGAATTTAAACACAGACTATAACATTTTTGTAACAACGATAGAAAATTCTGATAGGTTAATGATTGCAGTATTTTCTGAATGACACCTGTCGTCTCAGAGTAAATGAAAGTTGTTGGAAAATGGCATCGGCGTACAGATTTTTAAGTCTACGTCAGTATAAATTCGAATGTTTGTTTACGCACTAAAACAAAGATTAACAAAGATTGACAAAGATAGCTACTTTTCGTATAAATAGGAAATACATAATAATAAATAACATTTGAAACGGCGCAGAGAGTACGAAAACCAGTTTCAACCCAATCTCTTGGTCGTGACCACCCTAAAGTAAAAATAGAAAAACAGATGTCTTGCAAACTCGTTATGGTAATTAATTATTTGTAAAGTAAAGAAAGACTAGCTGATTATCTCGCGCGATATTTTGTCATCCCTCCATTTGCGGAGACTAGCGAATGGGATTAAGGTTTAACGCTTTTCTTTTACCTACTTAAAGAGAACAAAAGCAAGCCATTTTGTTAAATTTATTACCCTTTCGCTGACAGTGAAAAATCAAAAAAGTTAATCAGAGGTTTCACATTTGGTGCAAAGTTCTTTCGTAAGTGGCTCAGTTCTGCACATGCTACCATACAAGATTTTCTCACCGACTGGGAAAAAAAGGATGTTAATTATTTATTTATGCACTTTAAACAAACGGAATAGATGTCAAGCTTTGACTTGAAATCTAAATAAATTGCACTGATAACCTGTGAAAAAGAACAAGAAAATTGGGGAACAGAAGTTGCTCGTGTGCTGTTGACCCCTTCCAATTTTTTAGTCTTGAACAAAATTATTTTTGGAAACGTGATTGCTTTGGTAAGCCGGACATATGAGATCCGGCTGCTATTTGACTGGTTCAAATACTGCTTGCGTCACGTCAGTACACAGTTATCAAAAAATTTATATTTACTTTTATCCAGAACTGTTTTGGTTACGCTGGCGGCAAGTGATTACTTCTTTCTTTATTCGACAATCAAATACGAAATGTTTCTTGACACGATGCATGTTCCCTTTTGGTCGCCATTTCGGAAGGTAAATCTTGATTTAGATTCTGGATTGTGGACTCAGGTTAGAGTCGGAGTCCGATAGCTTCTGTGCCCTAGTGGAGATGGATTGTAATGGCAGCAAAATCACAAACCACATTTGAATAACTCACGTCTAAAGTTAAAACTTTCATAATAAAGACCACATCTAGTTTCTGCTGACAGGAGTGAAAAAAATGAACGATAATAAACAATGTGATGTAGTTTAACAAGCATTAAATTTGCTTTGTTTCCAAGGAAATCCCATGTCGCTTTGTTCCATACTGTTCTGTTCTCTCGATGAAGAACAGAAGATGTATTGCATGGGTGGTTTAATTTCGAACTTCTACGTACCCCTACTATTAATGGACTCTCAAGATTTCACTCACCTCTTTATTTTTCGTGCATTAGGCTTTCGAAGCATCCTTTATCAATACTTTAATCTGATAATTTTTTCGCGATTATTTTTCTTAAAAACACATCAACATTACAATCATATTCTATCAGTCAGCTTTCGAGCAATATTCATCTCGCACAAAAGCACATGCTTCTGTCTCACACGCGTACGGTAACCTTAGTGATGAGTTTTCATATCGATATAGAAATCAGTCGGTTACGAATTTCAAATCCTAAAGAGTACCATTCTTCGACGAAATTAAAATTCATAGCCAGGATATCCCGTCGTTCCATTTTGTCCCAGCAGCTCAAGTACTAGCAATTCATCTCATATACACATTTCAATATAGATATTGTCGTTAAGACCGAGAGAACAATCCAGTGTTTGCAAAATATAATTATTTTTATGTTGATAGACGATCTTATCTGGTGTTAACTAAAGGGCGCATCGAAAAAAATATTGTAAATCCACATCCACTTAAGTGTCTGATAGGGGTCAAGTTTAATATAATTAAGGGCAATTGCTCTTCTACCAAGAGGTAATTATCAAACGGAAGAAGACTACGTTTCTAGCAAACTTGACACTAGACATACATCATTCATCGAGCAGGTGATGAGAATAGACAAACTTATCATCTTGATAGAACACTAAATTCTCCTAACTAATTTACAGATGAATATATATTAACTAGAAGGGAAAATTACTAATCAGATCTTAGCGGTTTCTACAAGAAAAAAGTGAAGGAGCAATATAATTTATGAATGGAACCGAACTGGACACTCGGGTCCGACTTTCAAGTGCTTTAATCCGCCTTTACCTTTTTGTCCCGTGTTCCAGTTTGCAAAGGTCATAAACACAGTATCGTTCCTTTTTTTTATACGTGGGCTTGTCCCGGTATAACTTCGATAAGTTTAGAGCATTTCGATCATAACATCTGGTATTTTGAAAATCACGGACACGGAAAACAAACCTCTGCGTAGTAATTGGATACCGATCGATCACAATGGACTTTGCAGCTCCTTGTAATTAAGTCCCGAGAACAGAGCAAGTGAGTGAGACAGACAGAAGTGTCAGGCGGCCATAATTGTCTCGGGTTTTGGAAGTCCTTTGGAGCAAACACCGGGGCGCTTAAGTTGAGGGAGCCGCGTGGGAGGTCCCTGTATTTGTTCCTCCCTGGCACCCTCAAAACTTCCTCCACAAAGAGCTTGCAACTGGTTAATGAGTAAGTATTAACCACTGTTTGTGCAAAGAGAATGCTCACTGATGGAAGGACGCCTTTTGCTAACAATGCTATATAGATAACTTTATGCCTCTCAAGTAGAGGGCGATTGAATATTGGCTGGGACTTAACTTGTTCAATCATGGTCAATACATAGGCTAAAAAACAAGCCACTGCTCGAGAATTAGATCATGGCAATCCTCTCGGATACGGGAAAACCGGAAAGCAGCGAGATGCGAAATCGTGCCCAGTCTTCGCCTCAACGCATGATCTGCTTTATATCATGGCCAACAGATTACTTATCAGGCGTCAAAGAAACATTTTATTATTTCTTTATATCAAAATATCTTTCCAACACATTACAAATGTTATCATAATATATATTGAAAGTTTGCTTGTTTAGGATTCACGTCGGTTCAACATACTTCATGCAGTGTAAAGTCACGCTCATGGAATTTGTGGTGATGGGGTTTTGTCTCGAAGTTTAGTCCTGATTTCTCAAATGTAATTCAACCCCCCCCCTCGATCAAACTTTGGTACAACTGTGCCTTTTAAATACTGTAATTAAAAGCCCCAAAATGAATTAGGACGGGACCTTTTGGGCACGTATGAAAAGAGGATTTTGACAGCCACTATCGTCAGATAAGTTTAATAATTAACAACTCCATATGCTACCTAAGCCTATCAAAACAATGTCTATTCTTTTTGGAAATGTTTTTTTCCTCTATCTGCATTTTTAAGATTTTTCTTTATGATGCTTCTTTGTCTCCTTCGTAGTCAAATATTTAGTCACAGCATGCGTTCGTAATCTCTGTAATTCAGAGACGCACGAAAATCAGTTTCTCAAATGATTGCTTCAGGTCAGATTGAACCAGCTGTATATCAACAAACTACTATGATTGGAAAAATACAAAACTCACATAAATGCAGAAATAAACAAAAGGAAAAAATAAAACCTAGAAGGGGAAAAGTAAGACTAATTATAAAGGTTAGATAACAATCTTAACCATAATTCATTGCATTGATTCGGTAATCAAGATTATATTGGCTGCCAACTTTAAATATCCTTAGGAAAAGATCTTCAGGTAGTTGATTTTCTCGCACAAATATGATTGATTTATCAGTCGTCAAATGATATTTCTTACTGTTTTGCTTATTTGTTACGTTCTTTCTGATGGGCTCTTGAAAAGGACAGACATCTAATATTCAAGCCTGTTACGTGCTCAACCACGCGCTGTGCCATGACTCAGCTTAAGCCACGATTACGTGACATACTCAAGAATTTCTCTCGTATTTATTTTGCTGTAAGCTCTTTGTGGCTTTTTGAAGTTTAAAAATAAGTCATTCAGCTTTATTGGTAGTGTAGGACGCTCTTAGAAATTCCATTGGGCTTTCTTGCAATGATTCCTTCGTATTTCAAATAGATTTGCTTGTCGCCAGTAATCAAAGTGCGTGACGGACATTGTTATAATGGTGTCACTCCGTAATAAACATTTGAAAATAGTGACTTCCGGAAAACAACTTGAAGGTTGTGTTTGTCTCGACCTCTGTGTTAACTTTTGAAAAACAAGCCTCTTGTGTACTTCTACGAAGAAAACAGAGGACGGAACGTTGTCGAAATATATTATGAGGAAGTCTAAAATATAAAGATTTTGTGTGGGCTGAACCTAAAAGATTGACATAGACTTGTTGACGTCTTGTTTAGCTACTAGAAATCACTAGCCGTACATCCGGTCACGAACTCCACACCACAATGGCTGTGATTTTGAGGGCAAACGCGCCGCGCCTTGATTACATCGTGTGTCTAAGGGCACTACGACCATCCAATCACAGCGCAGTGCCCAAGTGAGCGTGGAGAAATACATGAGCAGGAAATTGCAAATTCAGAGTGTTGTGGTCAGTGCGTTGTTAATTAGCAGAGAGGCAGTGCAACAGAAATACGAATCAACTAGTTGCGTTTTTCCGCTTGATAACAAGTTGTTGTGTTTGATTGCTTCACTAGACCTTTGGTACTCAACAGAGACTTGACAGAAATTTGAAAGTGGTGAAATATCCCTAAAGGGCCTTGGAGTCGCACCTGGCGTTTAAAAATTTAGCAGCTGGCGTTTTGGAAATCTAGCACTTTGAGAATGGCAGCAAATGACAGCTCAGAGATGAACAGCACTTTAAAACCCTCTGTTGTGGATAAAGAATATCCCTTACCGCTCGTTGTAGGATATGTGATCTTGTATGTTGTTTTCTTCACATTCGCCTTCTTTGGAAACATTATGGCACTGCTGACATGCTACAAGAAATACCGCACATCACAATCAATTCTTCTCTGTTACATCTCGAGTTTAGCGCTTGCAGATCTTTTGTTTGCCATTCTCTCCATTTTTGACACCGTCTACTTCTTTCTGGGTGACTGGCCCGGTGGCAATCCCGTGTGCAAAATTCAAGGGACTCTAATCGAGATATCGTACTCCGCATCAATACTAACCTTAGTAGCAATCAGTTATGAAAGATCGCGATCTGTCACATCGACAAGTCTGGCCAGAAATCGCGGTATCGAGCAACGCACCATAGTCATAAAAATTGTGTGGATTGTGTCGGTTATTTTATGCGCACCTTTATTTTACGGGTACGCGACGAAAGAAGTGAACGGTGTGCAGCTCTGTTTGAACACTAACTGGGGTGACAGCGGGAGGCAAACCTACTATATCCTTCAAGCAATTTTCATATTCATTTGCCCTTTAGTTTTCATGATTTGGGCGCATACGAAAATTTTGCGCGTTCTGCAAACGCACGTCAAGAACACCTCAGGAGTGGGATCCGTCGAGTCAAAACAACACAAAGTAACGAAGATGTTAGCTGTAGTGACCCTGGTCTTTTTTTGCTGTTGGTCTCCGTTCATCATCGTTCGCGCACTGCGCTACTTTTACGTCTACGAGGGAAACGAACTGTGGAAACTCACGCAACTGATCATATTTGGAAATTCGGCAGCCAATCCAATTTTGTACTGCTTCTACAGCGGACAGTTCCGAAGGTCTTTTAAAGAGATTATCAGATGTAAATTTGAATTTGAAAGTCGACGTAAAAGTCGCACCAAAAGTCATTCGACCTTCGCTTTGCACAACGTCCGTCATAACAGCGTAAAAAGAACCGCTGCGATAGAAATGCATCGTGATTTGACGCTGAACAGCTCCACTACGGATTTTCAGTAGAAATGGAAGATCTCATGTCTTCATACTAATCTTCTAGCCTTTGAAAACAGTTTTCCCGACCGTCCAGAGAGAACAGTTTTCTGCGCGTTTGCTGGGAAATATTTCAAGAACTCCCACTTACAAACAATTCTTTGTAAGAGCACGGTGACCCTGTATCTCTCACCTGGTGGTTCGAGCATCTTCATCAGAAAAACTACTCTTTATTTCAAAACTATTAGAGAATATCAGTAGGGGTCGAGACCTCTTATTGCGCGTTATATTGAAGTTTAGATCTCAGATCAAAACAAAGTTATCCACATGGATCATGTCGTTTCAATTGTTGAATACTAAACGACCGGATCTAGCAATTACAACGCAATTTCCGTCCCATATTTCATGACCATGTAAAAAATTTATTGCTCATCATAAGCAAGAAAGATGTAATAATACTATACCGTCGCTTTCCTTCACATCATACAAGCAAATGAAATTTCGCGAACAGAAGTTCATTTATGTTTTAGGATAATATATTAAGATTGATTTTTTTTTCTTAAAGGGCCTGCTGGTTGCGGCAAAAGAAAATATGCATTATATGTCAATACAATTTTCTAGAATATCATCTGCTGATTGCTAATTTAATCAACTCCTTTCATCTGAAAATATGGATACCGTGATAAGATATTGTTGGTTTTTTTGGATTTTGATTTACTTTGACATTGCTGACACATATGCCGACGTCATCTGTGAAAAAATAAACAAATACAAGATGTATGGAATGAATCCTCTCTTTTTTGTTTTCAAAGAAATCTTACACCCATTAGTAGGAATGAAAACTTTAACAAGTTAAATTTTATGCAGTGATGCGTGTTACCTCATCGAAACACTTTGTTTGGCATATATTGCGCCGTCCTAATGCCGGCTAAAAAAAAGCGCTTCTCATGAAAATTTGCCCTTGGATTTGGACGAACTAACTGGTAAAGGGTATTACAACTGACTGCACATGTACCAATGTCAACCGACTTTGATGATATAATCAAAGTGCTCTGTGAGCAAACTCGTGAATTGACACACGATTTTTTGGATTATGTTTAATGTTATCTGGTTTAGGGAATTTTGTGGTTGATTGTCGTATCTAGAGTACGAGCAGTAGTTCAGTGTTCGCTAATGTAGCAAAGAAACAAAGTAACGTTGGGATAAGAAGGCATTACAAATGAAATGATCATGCTATTGCATTTGACAAGGATGGATGATGACATGTGTTTTAAACGTATATCATTTCTGTTTCTGGTTCAAAAGAAAAGGTTGAAAGAAAACGTGGGTGAAAAGTGAAATTAACTGTCTATCATTGTAAATATTAGAAAATCAAGGCAATACTGTCTTAATGAAAACATTAACGATTCCCTCTTTGTCTAATGAGACAAACGGGAACGAGTTTTGAGTAATATAACTAAGCCAAGACTGCCACCGTCATTTTGGATCTCCGCCTGGGTAGATTTTAGTCACGTGCAAGGCAACGTATAATCAGTAACAAGATAGCATTTCATTTCAGGCCTATTTATCAATTTTGTGGTACATGACTTTCGCATTTTAGTCCGTAATATGTATTTTGAATCTTCAAATTGTCTTGAAACTTAAAAGAAAATTGTTCTTTAAAAATTCACTGAAAATCGGTAGCTAAAATTGTTTGTTTAGGTGTTATTTGATTTTCGTGTTAACTTGTAATTTCGTTAGTCGCCGGCATCTTTTGTTGCTTCGCAGAAGTAAAACACACGATACGAAACGTAATGATCGATTTTGTCCTCAATCTCACGCCGTCACAGAAAAAGCCTTTGAACATCTGTAAACTCCGAGCGCTTCGCAGTAAGTGATATTTTCAATGAATCTTCGGATTGTTTTCAAGTTAAAGGATTGTCAATTACAATTTTATGAAAACGAAGGTTGTTCTGTTATTTCAGTGTGAATCCTTGCATGCTGCCAGTCGCTGGCGCCGCTTGTTGAAACTAAAACGAAAAAAAAACTCTTTTCAACCAATCGAGCGAGCGAGCGAGTGCCATTCCCCACATCGTATCTACAACTCGCTCTTGCGCATGTGCGCAATTCACGAGTTAAAAATTATATTGTTTCTTCCTCAGTCATTCTCAGTTAGTCTGAAGGAGCCCTGTGAGTCATTTCATAGAAACGTCATTTAAAATAATTTAAGATTCACTCGCAAAACCCAGGAAGAGTCTTATGAAACGCAAGAACTTACTAGGGAAATCGGTTTTGCCTGGAAACAAGCATGCTCTTTTATTTTTATTTTCAACCTTTTTTGAAATGTTACTCTGTTGGTTTTCTCACCTGCAGATGGTTTTAGCTCTGTTTCAAGAAATCTAGTGGTGTCCTTTAAGATAGTAAGCATTGAGGTAAAAAAAAAACGTATATCAAAACTTTTTAAGTTCTTGTCTATGAACTACTCTCGCTCCCGAGGTCCTGATCTCGAGCCAAATATTTCCCTGTCCGGCCCTCTTTCTAAATCAATAGATATATAGTGGTTATAGTACGTGAATTGCTGTCGGGCCGCACATCTGATTATAAACTGACGAGAATAAATGAAAAATGCCACTACAGCTCTTTTGTAGTAGTGTTTGTTTTCCCCTTTTTCACTCTCGCTTTTTCCCCGTTTTTGTCTACAAATCGCTGATCGATTACACCAAGATCTTGGTACTTTTACCTTTTGCCCTTGCGAGTCTGGCTGTGATGTGCAAATGATAAAATGTTTTAACCGAAGTGCAGATGCAGAAAGGAAAGAAATGGGCAAATGAAAAATTGACTTTTCGGTAGTAACCCCGAAGAATGCAGCTATAAATTCTCGTGCTGTTTCCGTCGCCAAGCGAAGGTTCTGCGCTTTTCGTCGGGAAATCGTTTCATGACTAAACTTCCCAGCGATCCGTGCGTGACGGTTCTTCAACTTTGTCGCCATGTTGTGCGGAGGCTGTAGGAAACGTTGTTAATTGAAATTGCCGTTTGATATGTTTTTTTACTTTTATTTTTGTTTATCTATTTATTTAAAGCCGACTTAATCAGTGTGCGTACCTCCTATTTGATTTTGGTCATCTCACTTAAATTCATTGCCGGCCATAGCCCAGGATCATTTAGCGAATCGCTCCTACCTCGGATTGCAGGAAACAAGGTGTGTTTACGCCCAATATGGTCAGGTAGGCTCATTTCTTATCAGGAAAATCTTCAGCTCAAAATGGCATCGGATGATAAGGATTTTTTCACGTTGATCTAAGTTCAAAAGGAAGGGTACTAACTTTCTATTCAGAAGCTTTTTCGGTATTGTTAGACGAGGATTGCGTGACGTTTCAAAAAGTAAAGTATGTTAGATATAGAATAATAAATGGCTGCGCGTAAATATGGAATTTCTCTTCGAGTGTTTACCGTAACTCGATAGCTCACAAGTGAACACGAGAAGAGAAATTTTATACCAAGAGGCAACCATGTATTATTTTGTTTGTCATAGAAACATAATAGCCCTTTACTAATTAGAAAAGTCGACTTTATTAATGAATGAAATTAAAAGGACCGGCAATCCCCGTATAGAAATCGTAAAGTGCGTTGGCGCACTCAAGATGAAAACATGCGTTGAATCACTACAAAAACAAACAATGGGCCTAGTTTTTAATATGCAAGAAATCTTTCAGGTACAAGGCCAAAATCGGCCAGTGGCAAATCTTTTTGTTGTTGATTTCCGTTCTCAGCTGCGAGAAATGCCATTACCAAAGCCAAGGAATACATAACTTTCAGTTTTTCTTTTTGTAGTTTGGTTTTCTTCCCCTTCTAGGAAAGTTTGAAGGTCAATGTCTTTGCACAATATCAATTTTTCACTGTTTTGACAGCCATAATCAGAAAAAATTCTGACAAATGACCATGGATTGAGAATGATAAAGGCTTTTCCATTCATTCATCAACCTGACCAAGTGGTGCAAAAGACAATTGACGTGTCAGCAGCTGATTGCCGATATCAAACACGTAAAAAAAATCATATTTTTTCATGTGTGTTGTTACAGCTTTTCTCAGGGCTGGAAATCCTTGTATAACACCATAGTTTATGTGATAAATTTTGGTAGCATTGAATATGCACTGTGTATAGCTACTTAAACTCCAAATATCCTTTGCTATTCATATCTGGGCTACTCATGCTCAAAAATATTGCAATCATTACAGGAGTAAATAAGTTAAAATCATCTCTTTATGCTATGTTATCTCACTGTTCTAGGATACACTAAAACAACCATTCACCTTAGTGTCTGTGGCTAGCAATGGATGATTGCAATGGGTAATAACCTTATTGTTTAGCAGTCCATTAATGATCCACCACAAGCCACCTCCTTGTGTTGAATAGTACAGATAACTTATTCCATGATACATCACTTTTGGCTTAAGTTTCAGTGTTTAAACTATTATCAATTATGTTGGACAGCTTACAATAAAAACATGGTAGCTTGATGAGAATTTTCACTAGCCCCAGTCTATTGGACAGCACTATGGTCACACCCTGATCATGTAGGCCACTTCACCTCGTTACAGTATAATCTAACTAACAGAAAAACAATACAATCCTACAAACTCAACTACTTTATTAAACAACGAGTAGTATTCATGAAAAGGAGTAACTCCTAAAGACAGTACAGTACTCAGGCTCAATAAACTTACTTAAGCCCAGTACAGTCTATAACTTAGCTCACCACTGAGCTAACCTCACAATTTCCTCTGTTTCTTGAAATTAGCAATCTTCCACTCTAGCTCTCTCTTATGGCATAGCTCTTTATGCGGTCTGTCACTCCTGACAACAACAACAACTACTACTACTACATAACAAATCCTTATATACATTCACAAAGTGTTCTGAACATTCCAAAAGCTCACAAAAGAACTATTTTAGTAGTATTACATACATGTAATAACTGTGTGACTTGATGAAATGTTCTTGAAAGTTCTATGGTATGCATATTAGCATGACGAAGCAGTCTGGAGATTTC